GATGCAGCTTGTGCTACACAGAGCAAACCTGTCCAGACAACAACAAACCAAGCAACCCCTGGCTCTGAGGCAGCCCCGGGCTGCCTATTGCGTGTGGTGACCCTGACAGGCCACTGTTGGTCATTCTGGGATTCAGGTCCTCATTTGACAAATGAGGCTCCCCTGGCTTCCTGACTTGTGCAGGGTTATGTATCGGTCTGTCAGGTACCTAGTCAGTCTTGTTACTTACAGGTCGCCCCTTCACAGGGCCTGAATCCAACATTCAGCACCTAAGTCTGAATTTTGAAAATGTTACTTTGATTCCCTAGATGGAGCAGAGGGAACATTATATCATATAAACATCCTTTTTAAAAATGAAAATAAGATGGGCGTTGGTGGCCCACGCCTTTAATCCCAGCACTTCGGAGGCAGAGGCAGGTGGATCTCTGTGAGTTCGAGGCCAGCCTGGTCTACAGAGCGAGTTCCAGGACAGTCTCCAAAACAATACAGAGAAACCCTGTCTGGAAAAACAAAACAAATATAAAGAAACAATAGGTACTTATACCACCTGGCAGCAAATCACATAAATGTTCAATGGAAGGTTGCTCAATGGCTAAGAGCAACTGCCGTTCTTGAAGAGGACCAGACGCCAACTCTCAGCACCACAATCAACTGCCTGAAACTCGGCTTCAGGGGATGGCCTGCAGATACTGCACACACCCACACAAATGAAATAATTGAGCAAGCATAGCTAACAACTGCTGCAACTCTTGTCCCCAAGGAGCTGATGCCTCTGGTCTCTGCAGGCAGGCACATGTACCAACCACCCATCTTCACATAATTAAAAATAAAATATAATTCACGTGAAAGATACTGGGCTGAACAGTGTACAGCCCTAGGACCTCAAATGACTATTTCACGTTTCTAAATGTACTGTGGTGGCTTCCAGCCATGACTGTGGGTCTAAATTACCTGGTGACTTTTTTTTCAAAAGTAGTGAGGTAACTTTATTTGGAGTGAAGTAGTCAAGATAGTTTAGAACAGTGGTTCTCAGCCTTCCTAATGCTGTGACCCTTTAGTACACCTCATGTTGTGGTGACCTCAACCATAAAATGATCTTCATCGCTGCTTCATGACTGTAAGTTTGCAATTATGGATCATAATGAAATGCCTGTGTTTCCTGGTGGTCTTAGGCAATCCCTATGAAAGGGTCTTTCAGGTTGAGAACCCCTGGTGCAGATCAGAGAAGGATACACTAGCAAGGCTGACAGTGAACCACATGTGTGTTAAGAGTTCCAGACACCCCATTGTTTAGATAAGGTAGGCCAGGCTGGCTCGACCGCTAACAGAGGATGACCTTGAATTCCTGGTCCTCCTGCTCCACCTCCCAAGTTCTGGGGCTCTAGCCATGTGCCACCCCCCACACATAATTTAAGATACATATTTTTCCCAGCTTCAAACTAGTTTTCAGTGTGAAATCCCATAATTGGGAAGCAGTAGGTATATCAGTAAAACACGGATGCATGTGCACACACACACACACACACCCTAGTTCTGAATCTGAAGCTCAGGGGAGGAGAACAGAGATATGCAGGGGAAGACATCTAAGCCACTGAGGAAAACTGCACTACCACGTGTATTCACCAGGGAAAGCAGTGGGGCAGGGCTCCAACGCAGAGTGACGGGATGCTTGGGCTGCTGGCACATCCCGGCATCAGCAGTTTCACAGAGGCTCCAGGTAGGAGTCTGCACAGGAAGCACCTTTCATGTAGGGAGGTGATTGTCAAAGCAAATGAACTGATGGGGGAGCTCAGTGGCAGAACCCTGGTGCACACAACCCATCATCACAACACAACACACCAAGCAAGCAACCAAGCAACCAAGAAACCAACCAAGCAACCAAGAAACCAACCAAGCAACCAAGAAACCAACCAAGCAACCAAGAAACCAACCAAGCAACCAACCAAGCAACCAACCAACCAAGCAACCAAGAAACCAACCAAGCAACCAAGAAACCAACCAAGCAACCAACCAAGCAACCAACCAACCAAGCAACCAAGAAACCAACCAAGCAACCAAGAAACCAACCAAGCAACCAAGCAACCAACCAACCAACCAACCAACCAAGCAACCAAGAAACCAACCAACCAACCAACCAAGAAACCAACCAAGCAACCAACCAACCAACCAACCAACCAAGAAACCAACCAAGCAACCAAGAAACCAACCAACCAACCAAGAAACCAACCAACCAACCAAGAAACCAAGAAACCAACCAAGCAACCAAGAAACCAACCAAGCAACCAAGCAACCAAGCAAGCAAGCAACCAAGCAAGCAACCAACCAAGAAACCAACCAAGCAACCAAGCAACCAACCAACCAACCAACCAACCAAGCAACCAACCAAGCAACCAAGAAACCAACCAACCAACCAACCAAGAAACCAACCAAGCAACCAACCAACCAACCAACCAACCAAGAAACCAACCAAGCAACCAAGAAACCAACCAACCAACCAAGAAACCAACCAACCAACCAAGAAACCAAGAAACCAACCAAGCAACCAAGAAACCAACCAACCAACCAACCAACCAAGCAACCAAGAAACCAACCAACCAACCAACCAAGCAACCAAGCAACCAACCAACCAAGAAACCAACCAAGCAAGCAACCAAGAAACCAACCAACCAAGAAACCAACCAACCAAGCAAACCAAGCAAACCAACCAACCAACCAAGAAACCAACCAAGCAACCAACCAACCAACCAACCAACCAACCAAGAAACCAACCAACCAACCAAGAAACCAAGAAACCAACCAAGCAACCAAGAAACCAACCAAGCAACCAAGAAACCAACCAACCAAGCAAGCAAGCAAGCAACCAAGAAACCAACCAAGCAACCAAGCAACCAACCAACCAAGAAACCAACCAAGCAAGCAACCAAGAAACCAACCAACCAACCAAGCAACCAACCAAGAAACCAACCAAGCAACCAACCAAGAAACCAACCAAGCAACCAGCCAAGAAACCAACCAATAAAAACACTAGCTGAACAGAACTAAATGACTGTATTTCCTGGCAAAGCATTTATTGAAAGTAACATTCAGAGTAAACCATCTTCTGGAAGGCACACAGCTACACTGGCCCATGCAAGAGAGCCAACAATTTATAAGATTCAACCTGTAAGATACAATAAGGATTACCAAGGCACCTGCATTACAATCTCTTAAATATTTTAAAAAGTTAAAACAATGCATTAATAGATATTTAAAATGTCAAATCCTCTTGACAACATATGGAACAGCTAAGAACTTGACATAATGAAGCCTGCCTCAATGATCTGTTGACAGCGTAGTCTTCAAAAATAGAAATAAGATTGTGAGCTACATGACCCAGTCCAGGTCCAGGGCCTCGTGGATGATTATCATACTAGGAATCAAACAAACCTTTCTGTAGGAAAGGGCATATTTCAAGACAGCAATTGCTGTGTTATCATTTATTTTTATTTATGGACTATATCAGAAATCCTTTAGGCAAACTTCTCTGAAATGCACAGCTTATTTCTCACCTGCAGTTTTCTCTTGCGCCAGTAGATGGCTGTAGCACACCGTCTTTCATCACATAGGTGCTGCCCAGAGGCTAACTTGGAAGGAAGGCTCAACAGCAGGTCGGTAGTGGGGTGTAAGAAGGGGCAGTGAGAATAAAGAAGAGCAGTTCTAAGGGGGTGAAAGGTCAAACTGGTGCTGGCTATAGAAGATAGAAAGATGAACGACGGATGTGGGGTCCAAGGAAGGGCCCAGTGAAATCCTAAGTATCAAAAGCATGCACCAGAGGAATGAAATCTAGAACAGACGCTGGGAAAAAGAAGGCGTTAGCTTGTAACTGAAAGGACATTTTAACAAAGGAGACAGACTCATTTAACAAGCAGCTAAAGAAGGTCTCACAGTTGCTCCTCCGATCTAGCCAACAACAAGGGCTGGTCACTGAATGCTAACACCAGTAAACAACCCAAATAATGCACAAGGACTATTACAGCAGGCCCTGTCTTGAGGATGGGTTCTCTGCTGTGGCAGAAGCCAGTCACTGACCTCCAGCACAGCAGGAGCAGACTTTAAACGGCCGGAGTAAAGGAGGGTGCTCTTACAGCCGCCAATTCAAGCACCCCAATGGTGGAAGGACGCTTAGCATCTCTTGCCTTTGTGAACACACACTAACACACTAAACCCCCCCCGTCATTTTATTCCTAGTTTTCAAGTTGTTTTTTTTTTTTTTTTTTTGGTTTTTCGAGACAGAGTTTCTCTGTGGCTTTGGAGGCTGTCCTGGAACTAGCTCTTGTAGACCAGGCTGGCCTCGAACTCACAGAGATCCACCTGCTTCTGCCTCCCAAGTGCTGGGATTAAAGGTGTGCGCCACCAATGCCCGGCTTAGTTTTCAAGTTTTAAAAAGAGTTTATGTCCATGAGTGTTTTGCTTGGTGCCCTCAGAGGCCAAAAGAGGGCATCGGATCCCTGGAGCTGGGCAGCATGTGTGTGCTGGGAACTGAACAAGGAAAGCGTCTCACTGAGTCATTTCTCCAGCCCTAAGGTGTAGCCCAGGAATAACCTCAAATTCAAGAGCCTCCCCACTCTGCCTCTTCAGCATCCTCCTGGCCTCTGCTGATTCCTACTTAAACATGCAGACAGGGGTGGGGGAGGGATGGGGGGATGGGGAATGGGGGATATATCCTGCTGGAAACCACTGCGGTGCCACAGGAAACAGAAATGCCATTTCCCTTCCTCAGGCTAGGTTCAATCTTGCCTCCACCTCCTGGGAATCTAGCTGGGTTCCGTGGGACTCCCTGTTCTCAGGGGCCCCTCTCTAAGTCAATGCCCTGGAACAGAGCAGTTGTTACAAGGACATTTTTCTAAAGGGGGAAAAGTGGACAGCCCCACGGGTGTTTACTTCAAGGCATCCTGAGGGTTTACCAAAAAGACAATCTTTCTAGAAAAACATTTCTGGGAGACACAATCAACTCAAAGGAATGAAGCTAACAGGGAAATACTTTATCAGGAGAAAAAGCGAGGACAAGCCCAAGCTCCAGAGCAACTGGCCCAGCTCTTGGGAGGTGAGGACATCCTGCTAGACCCAGCTGCTTTTAGAACACCTCCCAGCTGTGAGCTCCCTGGCTTCTGTCAGCTTGTGTCACAACCTAGGAAGAAAAAAGCAGCTTTAACCGCCTCCCCTACTGGCCTTCCACTAACCTGCAATATTCTTGTGTCTTATAGCTCCTCTCCCTACTGTGAAGACTGGACTATATATGAACTCTGTCTCTGCCACTTCCAAACACAGAAAACAAATACGGAGGGAGAGCCCAGACACCCATGCATCAGGCCTGCATTCATCAGAGTCGCTGGGTGTGGACCCAAACCCTTTCACACACAGAAACATTTTTAAATGTTCTTACCATTCACCAAAGACAACAGCTTGATTTCCTTTGAAGAGTAAGAAAAGCTAAGCAAAAAAAAAAAAAAAAAAAGTCTTTGTGGCTAGAAAGATGAGCTAAAAATAGGTTTAGCGCAGTGAACAATGCGCATACACAAGATAATAATGGTAATAAGCATTTGCTGGGTGGAATTGGAAATCTGGCTACTGAAAACTGTAAAATGAACAGACCGCACTACATGCAACCTCACTGCCGTGAGAACAGCCTTTGTGAAGATTGCTGCCCTCCACTGGAAAAAAGCCCCTTCAACTTTCTAAAGCAGAAAGAAAATCACACAACCGTTTTGCTGACATCCTCAGGGAAACAGGAGCAAGCATCTTCCTGTTTCGCAGTCCAGTGATGGGCGCTAAGTACACAGCTGTGTTTCCTAAGAAGTCCGACCAGGTTAATATTTTTTTGTGCATCTGAAAGAAGCTACAAACGTTCACTTTCCACCGAGGGTGGTCAGCGCATTTCCTTAGGAACAGTCTTGAGGCCCAGGTTACAAACCTGAGCAAGGAATGTTCGTCCAGTTCTGGCCCAGCCCATTCCCCACAATGTCTGCTCAAGGCACACCACTCCTGTGGGATTTTCCACAATAGAGACATCACAAGGATAAAAATGCAATGACATGGTATCTTAGAGAGCAGTAGAGACGACTTCAGTCCTTTCAAAATGTTTCTGTAGGCACAAATCAGTTTGTTCTGCACATAAAGGGGGATCTTCCCAGACCAGTGACTTGGTTCATACAACTGAATTCAATTTTGTTGTAAAAATTTACTAAAAATATAGAGCAAATCTAATTTTAGAAAGAAACTTAAAGATGATTCCATGTAACTAATGCACAAACAGAAAACAAAAGATGCCTGAATTACATGATCATCCAATAACAAATCAGTTGTTGAGCTCTGTAGAGTTTTTTTAAAAATCAGAAACCAAGTCCTTGGAGCGCACTTAAAAACAATCAGAATTTCACAAAAGATGTCACTACTGGATTGTATTGGTAACACTTTGATCTGGGGTCCTCCACCCTTTTTGCTTGTATTATTGATTTGCTGAGAAATGATAGCGTCCAGAGACAGCGAGAAAGCAAACACTGTCCTTAGGAAGGTCGACCAGCCAAACAATCCTCTTGTGAATGTGTGTGAAGGCCACAGCTGCATCAGGACATGGAGAAAGACAGTTTTCCTGTCCATTGTTCCCGTTTCCCACTGTCCATCCACTTCCCCGTGAGAGGCTCACACTGAAGAATCTTCCAGTCCATGCGGCCCTAGGAGAGGCTGAGGGGTTTTCTGTTGTTCAGAGGCCAGGCACTCCAGAGAACAGCACCGAGGGACAAGTTAGTGCTCCTGAACTCTAGATCTACCCCAAACAGACCTCCTACTCCAGGGGAGAAGGCAACAGGCAAGCGAAACTTTCTTACAGTATAGCTACTTGGCAGGAAGAGAAAGAACGGATCAGACTCAGTGTCCTGGACTTAAGACCAAAGACGGCTTGACTTCTCGGCGCCAACTCCCAGGCCGCAGCAGCAGAGACCTGGCCACGTGGTGCTGGGTGGGTGCCAATGCGCTGGGGGGTGCCTGGGCTCTCGCTGGCTAAACTTTAGTGAAGCTTGTGCACGGGGTAGAGCAGGGTCATGTGCTCTGCCCCTTTGAAAGGCAGCTTTGCACTGGAATAATAGTGTACCACTTCCGGGATGCTGTCAAACACTGCGCTCGTCTGATTCAGGGTGTATTTGTTGTCTTTTGTCTGAGCCACTATGATGTGGACACACCCTTGACTAGTCCTGGAGGAGAAAAACAAGAAGCCATGAATGAGTGAGCAGAGCGTCCATCCCCACTGGAAAGCATCCCAGCCAGATTCACAACAGGTGACGGGTCCTCTTCCCCGTCCTGCAATTGTCCTACACACAGAGAAAAGCATCCAACAAGCTGAGGGAGTGTCTGCAAGTTTCTAAATGCATAACACTTCAACTTGTTTATCGTTATTACACACAGTAGTCAGGACTGGAAGGAAAAAGCCCCTTCCACTGCCCAAATTGTAAGACGGGCGAATAAGCCCACGTCTGCTGCTGTAGAGTTCCTATTCAGCCCCCTCCCCACTGCTGAACAGATATGGTGAAGTTTCTCCTCCTTTATTTTCCCCAAAGGAACACATTAATAATAATAACAACAATAACTGTCCATTGGCCCTTGCCCCTAGGAGGAAAGAGCAGCCCTGGTTGCTCACAATGACAGCTGGCGCTGAAGGCGCAAAGACTTGGCCCCAGACACGGCTTTCAGGATCACCGTGGCTGTTCCTGGTATTGTCTATGTGGTCTATCCCATTTTCTGAGCCACGCTGCTCTTGTGCCCCTCCCCCCGCCCTTCCCTTCCACTCTGATTGTTTCAGCCCCAGGGGCTCAGCTTCCTCAGGAAGGAAGTGCAGTGAGGGCTCTTGACAATGACCCTCCAATGCGGTGCCACTGAATTCACTGAGAATTTCCATGGGACATGGCCTGCCAAGCCCACCAGGCAGAAGTGAGCGTCTGCGCACAATTAGACAGCGAGGAACAACTCAGCACTTCCTTCTTCACCAGAAGGGACTAGTATCGTCAGGTGCAGCTGGCATGGTGACAATCAAGGACTCGATATTCATTAAGGTCCCTCATACTAGGGAGTAAAAGAAAAATGACTAGATCTGAGTGTTGGCGCATGCCTGGAATTCTCTCCCTGGGTGTGCAGAGGCAGGGGATCACTAGGTTCTAGTGAGACCTGTCTCAAAAGAGTAGAGGAGTGCCAGGCATTTAGTCCCAGTACTCAGGAGTTAGAGGCAGGAGGACCTCAGTGAGTTTGAGATCAGTCTGGTCTGCAAATCGTTCCAGGACAGCCAGGACTACATAGAGAGACCCTGTCTAAAAAGAAAAAAGAAAAGAAAAAGAAAGAAAAGGATTGGTGTGTGTGTGTGTGTGTGTGTGTGTGTGTGTGTGTGTGTGTGTGTGTCAGTATGGCTCAGTGGTTAACAGCACTTACTGCTCTTGCAGAGGGCCTGAGTTCAGTTCCCAGCACCCACATGGAGGCTCACAACCATCTGTAACTCTAGTTCCAGGGGATCTGATGCTCCCTTCTGGCCTCCATGGGTACTGCATGCACACGGTACACAGACATGAAGGCAAATAACATAAAAACTTTCAAAATCTTTTGTTTGTTTTTTGTTTTTTTTTTTCGAGACAGGGTTGGAGGCTGTCCTGAAACTAGCTCTTGTAGACCAGGCTGGTCTTGAACTCACAGAGATCTGCCTGCTTCTGCTTCACCACTGCCCAACTAATTTTCAAAGTCTTAAAAAAAAAAAGCCATGGAAGAAATTGAACTGCACTGTCTTTTTAATTTTTATTGACTTAATTTTTTTCTGTGCTGTTGGACAAACTTAGGACTTGTGTGCTAGACAAGAACTCTGCCACTGCACCTCAGCCCCAGCCCTAGACACTATATGTTCTGTGTGTTACCAGGGTATTGCCTTCATATATGTCTCTGCACCAGGTGTGTGCCTGGTGCCTACCGAGGCCAGAGAGGGCATTAGGTTCCTGGGAATTAGAGTTACAGACATCTGTGCACTACCTTGTGGTTGCTGGGAACTGAACCCAGGTTCTCTGGAAGAGCAGCCAGTGCTCTTAACAACTGAGTCATTTCTCCAGTCCTGAAATTTTTGTTTTCTGTTTTTTGAGACAGGGTTTCTCCATGTAGGCCTGGCTGTCCTGGTACTCACTCTGTAGACCAGGCTGAGCTCAAACTCAGAGATCCGCCTGCCTCTGCCTCCTGAGTGCTGGGAGTAAAGGCGTGAGCCACCACCGCCCGGCTTCACTTTTTTTTTTAAATCAGGAATTATTTTTCTTCTAAGAGGCCTTAGATCTGATAATGGAAGGTTGCGACTAATGTTCCATGACAACGAAAACAGGATCACCACGATTATAATAGACGCCAGGATCTTTTTTTAATCTAGTACAATTCTGATCACAATGTTTCACCATCTGCTGTCCATTGTTTTCTGGTGACACGTGCCCTGTGATCCACCTTCCGACAATACCTGTTTGACTGCCCATCTACCCTCAGGGAGGAAAGACTTTACAGCACAGCCTAGCTTTCAGACAAGGACACCCAAGGGGTGAAGACACTTACTTCAGTGCAATGGAGTACCTGCTGGTGCCTGACTCACTGTTTCGGACCAGGTAACCAGCCTCTTTGCAGGGCTGCAGTCGGTTCTCAGCCTCAGCTCGGGTGATGGTGCCATGATACCAACTGAACAGGGATAGAGGAAAAAAACAGTGTCATAGTACAAATCCAGACTGGACTAAACCCACTGTGTGCATCACTTACAGACCCCTCCACTAAAGCGAGGTTTGCAAGGACCTCTGGAGACGCTCAACACTCTGTGGATCCTGCTTCATACGCAGGGCAGACCCAATGCAGATCCCAGTGGTCTCGGTCACAAAGCCATTCAATCATACACAGCCAAGGGTGGTGTCCTTTGAAACATTCCCCTCTGGTGGTTAAGAGCACTTGCTGCTCTTGCAGAGAACCTGGGTTCAGTTCCCCACATTTACATTACTCCTTACCACCCACAACTCCAGTTTCAGGGTATTCAATGCCCTCTTCTAGCACATGTGTGGACAAAATGCTCAACAATCATCCAAAAGTAAAGCAGGCCTCCCCTCTGTACGGAAGGAGGCTTGGCAAACTTCTTGGGATATAGTCCCTTCCATCCTGAACAAATGCACTGTGCTTAGAACCTCCACCAGGCAAGAATTCGTAGACAAAAGCGATTGCCCTGAATGGGCTTAGGGCACCCCACACAAGGCTGTGACAAAGTCACTGAGGAGACTCACGGCTGCTTTTCCAGGGCCAGGCCCGGGTCCACCTTCTCTCGGTCACTATGGTCTGACAGGGTCGGCTTCAGTGTCTTCTGCCAGTGGTGCGGTCTCCCTGTCTCCTCTTTGCTGGGAGGTCGATCGTATCCCTCAAACTGGACTGGAAGGAAGATGCCACTTAACACTAGAGACCACGGAGGCCAGACACGTAACCCTCGAAGGGAAAAGCCTCCTGCCTGCCTTAGCCCAGGGAAGCCTTGACGGTGAGCTCCGATGTGCAGCAGTGACCCCAGACAGCTGTGCTCCTGCTGTTGTGGACATCTGACTACATTGCTAAGTGTCCCCATGTGATCACTTTCCTTGAGGTAACTCATCAGTATAAAACAGTTTTGGAAGAGACTCACGTTTCAGTATGGACTTTATTCTAAAGATGCTAACAGGAACTTAAAAAAAAACACAACACAGATTAAACATACATTTCGAGTGTGACTCTAAAGCACTCTGCCCTGAATGCGCCATCTGTTTCCACCCTATCTATCCTCAAGGCTCAGGGGTCTGCGAAGAAGAGGGCCAGAAAAACTGTAAGGCCCACGCGTGGTAGATGACTTTAATGACACACATGCTGCAGGCGCAACAGGCCAGACACACACGAACTCACAGGGACTGCGCCAGCTTACACAGACTAGCACAAACCCAAGCCAGACGCAGTCCCAGCAGGAGGAGGGCACAGAGTCCCACCCCTGGCCGAGAAGCGCTTCCCAAACGGTAGCCGCTAGGAGGCCAGTTTTCTTCCACCGCACTCCAGAACAGGCACCGCGTCACTCAGGAGCAGTCAGCCAACACAAATTGGACTCCACGTTTTTAGTGGCTCCCCCATCCTTTTCTTTTCGGAGAGAAGTTGTGGGTGAGGAGGGTTGTGAGAGCTAAGGGGAGGTAGTTGGACAGTAAAGAATTTGATCAAACACACTATGAAATTCTCAGAGGACGACTGTTTTCAAAAGACTTAAGCATACATTTAGTGAGTCTATCTCTTTCTATAAAACCAGTGGCAAATTTCACTATGAAATAATAAAGCAAAAAGAAAAACACTCAGAAACAGCAAAATCATGAAGCGCCACCTTGGAGCTGCTGAGAGGCCTAGGCGAGGCAGAGGACAGACAGCACAGAGGCACCCCATGCAGGCTTTGCTGTATTTTGTTTTTCTTTTTAGATGAGCTCTAATGTAGCCTAGGGTGGCCTAGAATTGGCCATCCTCCTGCAGCTGTGTAGGCAGTGCTGGGAATGCAGTCATCCACCAACCAGCATGCTGGTTCCACTTCTAATTGGACTTACTCTTAAGGGGTAAAGACGCCTTGAAAAGTCTAAATCAAAGGAAAAACAAATTCTGTGAAAGCCAAATGGAAAAATTACGTCTTGAGAGCATCATCAGTTACCTCTCCGTGTAGGTGCTGGGAACTGAACCCAGGTCCTCTGTAAGAGCGGTAAGTGCTCTTAACCACTGAGCATCTCTCCAACCCCACCTCACTCCATTCTTCTTCTTTTGTTTTAAAGCTTATCAACGTTCCCTTAAATTACTTAAAAATCCTCACATGAGCAAGGCATGGTGGTATCCCAGCCACTTGAGATGCTGAGCCCAGGAGTTTGAAGCCAACCTGGACTAATTATAGGAGAAAATTTCCCTGGCTCCTGCAACAAAAGGTCTACATTTGAAGGTGTGACTCTACTTTCAATCTAGGTTTTACTTCAGAATATATATATATATATGTATATATTTTTTTTGAGATAGTGTTTCTTTGTGGCTTTGGAGGCTGTCCTGGAACTCGCTCTGTAGACCAGGCTGACCTCAAACTCACAGAGATCCACCTACCTCTGCCTCCCAAGTGCTGGGATTAAAGGCGTGCACCACCACCGCCCGGCCGGAATATATTTTTAAAGGAACACTCTAACTAAGGAAACGGAGACAAGAAGAAAACCAAATGACAACAAAAACAATCCAGTTTTCACTCCAGTTTGCAGCTGGCCCATTAATCTGTCTTACCTAGGCCTTGTATTCACAGTGAGCATTTCACAGGCTTGAAGAATAAGTGAGGCCAAGAACTGGGAAAGCTGTTTGCAATTTGATAACTTTGTTAATGGGAGGGAAATCAACCTAAAATGATCAAGGAGGCTTTTCCAACAGCCCTCGGGGCAACCCCACACCACAGGACAGAAAGAAAAGGGAAACAAGTAGCTTTAAGGGCACACTTTTCACCCTGGTGGTGGTTTTGTTCACACAGAGTATTGTATAGCCCAGACTAGCCTGGAACTCCTGGTTTTCCTGTCTTCCATGTCCTGGGAATACGGGCATAATCTGTACCTCATCCACAGCCAGAATCTCTTCTCTATCAAAAACAAAAAACAAAAACAAAAAAGGGACTTGTGGGATGGCAAGATGCCTCAGGGGGTAAAGGTGCCTACCACCAAGCCTGACAACGTGGGTTCAATGCCTGGAGCCTACATGATGGAAGGAGAGAACCATCTCCCACAGGTTGTCTTCTGGTCTACCACGTTACGGTCTACCACGTTGCACTCATCCCGCATACAAAAACACAACAAACCAATGATGTAATAAAAGCAAAAGGCTTGTAGCGAGGACACAAAGACAATGCCTTGATGCAGCGTTTAAAGTCACCTGGCGATTGCGAAACGTGCACCCTCTCAGTACCCTCTGCAGTGGGTCATCAGAGCTGAGGCTCCTCTGGAGCTGGACATGGGTGACCAGCCTCTCCCTTCCCCTCCCCTGCCTTATCAGCAGGCACCCATGACTCTGTTCTGGATTTCTGAGGGCTTCTGCAGTGTGAACTCACGCTAGGTGATGGATATGTTCACCACCCCCATTTGACCACTATTCAAGACACACATGTACTGAAGGGTTATACCCATGTTCTGAAAGCCCAGTGAGCCTGTGCCATCACCGTGTGTCAGCTCTGAAGTTTTCTTTTTGTTTTGTTTTTTTTTTTGTTTTTCGAGACAGGGTTTCTCTGTATTGTTTTGGAGGCTGTCCTGGAACTCACTCTGGGAGGCAGAGGCAGGTGGATCTCTGTGAGTTCGAGACCAGCCTGGACTACCAAGGGAGTTCCAGGACAGCCTCCAAAGCCACAGAGAAACCCTGTCTCGAAAAACCAAAAAAAAAAAAAAAAAAAAGAAGTGTCAGGAGTGAAGGCCTTGCGTGGCAGGTGCCGTACCCTCACCTGACAGGGCTCGTGCGATCTGCTCCCTCTTCCATTCCCAGGGCTGCTCATACTCAGCGGCGGGCCTGTCATCCTCCTCTGGCAGCCTGCTGTCTGCTGGCCGTGCCTTCACCTCTGCCCCTCGTTGGCCACCCTCTGAGGGCTCGTAGGGGGTGTCATAGAGTTGCGGCGGCTTCCCCAAGAGGTCCTTGGAGCTGCGTCTCTTGGCTGGGGCCTCCACCTTCATGCTCTCCCCTGGATCACATGGGCCATCAAGCAGCTGGAGGGCCTTCACCAGAGGGTCTTTGGAACCACGACGTCTGATTTCTGAAAATCAGGCACACAGGTCACACAGAGCACCTCAATGGACATGGACAGGTTGGTTTGAGGAGGCCAGTGGGTAACCCACGAGTAACCCAGTTATCCTCGGCTGAGTCAGTAGAATGCTCTAAAACTGTTCTGGTCTGAGCTGACAGCTGTGCGGCCATCTTGCAGAAGCAAGAGGAGGGCACCAGGGTTTCTGTACAACATGCCCGGGAACTGAAATATCACAGTGTCCCCAGACAGTCTGCACAGCAGCTGAGAGTCAAATCTAAAAAGACAGGCTTAAGAAGAAACGCCTCTGGGCATGGCCAGATGAGCTGAGCCTATGAGGAGGGCTGACACCTAAATTCAGGAGGCTCCAGGTTCCCTGTCAGGATAGTGGAAGAAGTGACCTCTGGGTAGCAGCCTCACTTCCGTGCCCTAGTGTCTGCTTTGAGTAAAGTTTACCTTCAGTTCTTAGAATACTTCTTGTTAGGAAGCCCAGAGTAAAGCATTTCAAGGAAAACCAGCTGTTTATGGCATTGAAAGCATGGCTCACAATACACCAGGAAAGCCATTTGCCTTAGTCAGCTTTATGCTTGTTTTGAAACAGAGTTTCTCTGTGTAGCCCTGACTGTCCTGGAACTCACAGAGATCCACCTGCCTCGCCTCCCTAGTGCTGGGATTAAAGAAGTGCGCCACCAGGCCCAGCTTCCATCTGCGTTCTTAAGACACAGACACTCAGGGCAGTGGGAGCCAGACACATCCACGAAGTACTCTGAAGGACAAATCCAAACAAACGGTGTTAGGGTAGAAAACAAAATACCCGCTCTACAACATACCCTGGGTAGCAAGCACTGTTCTCAGTGATGCTCACAGACACACTGTGTCCCCACATTAACGAGAACTGAAGCACAAAGAGCTTAAGGAAGTGGCCCAGACCAGGACATGGCAGGGCCCGGGGTGGAAAGCAGGAAGCTGGGCGCTAGAAGCCTTACTCGTTGACACACATTTGGACGGACTCCAAATGGAAGAAAAATGGAAGATGGCTGACTCTGATGGAGAAGGTCATTTCCAGTGGAGGAAGCTGCATGAATGAAGATACGGAGGTGGGAAACACAGGGGTGCCTTGCCATCTGGGGAGCGGAGAGGGAGAGGAAAGTTTTAAAGGCAAACGTCCAGAGGAAAGGAAGGCATTTGGGAGGTCTTAGATGGAGAGGGGAAAAGCCCAGAGAAGCAACTGTGGGGTTTCTGTTAGTTTTGTTGTCATGGTTTTTTTTTTGTTGTTGTTGTCATGCTTTTTAAAAAAAGGTTTACTTATTTATGCATACAAGTGCCTTGTCTGCATACATGCCTGCACACCAGAAGAGGGTATTGAATCGTGGGCTGCTGTGTGGTTCCTGGGAGTTGAACTCAGGACCTCTGGAAGAAAAGCCAGTGTTCTTATCCGCTGAGTCATCGCTCCAGCTCTGCCATTTTTTTTTAAATGAAAAATGCCAGGACTTATTTTTTTTAAATTATGAGTGTGCTTCTGCAGAAACCAGAGGGTGGTGCCAGAGCCCCTGGAGCTCCAATTATAGACAATCCTGAACCAACAGCCACTGGTTCCAGGAGCCAGATTCCAATCCTCTGCCAAAGCAGTAAGTGTTCTTAATCACGGAGCTGTATCTCCAGGCCCATCCTTGCTGCTGTCTATGACAGGGTGTCGTGTCAGCCAGGCTGGCCTGAGATTGGGATGTAGAGAAAGATGGCTTTGAACTCCAGGACGCTTCTGTTTCAGTCTACCAAGGGTTAGGATCATAGCTCTTTGTAATTCATCTGGAAGTGGGATTTCTTTTAAAACCAAGAACAAGAAGTTTGGGTTGTGCTGTGTGTGCACAGTGAAAAACCATTTACAGATCTCTTGCCTTTTTTTTTTTTTTGAGACAAGGTTTTTCTGTGTAACAACCATGGCTGTCCTGGAACTCGCTCTGTAGACCAGGCTAGCCTTGAATTCACAGAGATCTGCATGCCTCTGCCTCCTAAGTGCTGGGATTAAGGGCATGTGCCATCATGCCTGGCTATTTAAAAATCTTAAAAACAGTCACTAACAATTATCTCTGAGAGTCACTATATTGCAACTCTAACAGCAGTGTATAGTATGGAGGAATCGAGAAATATCTGGCCTGAACTGATGCATAGTAGTGAACAGATAACCTTCCGATATAAGCCAATTAACAGTTAAACAGCTAGCCACCATAGGACGGATCAGCAGTGTCTGGTGACTGACCAGCCTGGGCCTAGGGCCTTACCAGATAGCTCTAACCAAATGGAATCACTGGAGATTCCAACATATTACACTTATATCTATTAGCATCTGTGGTCTTTTTGTCCATTGAACTCTACTCAGCATCTCCTCTGTGGAAAGGCCTCTCCTGCCTACCTGGTCCTCTGCTGGCCCTCAGAGCTCACGAGATGCCATGGGTGTCCTGGTCCTTTCTTACCTTGCACTTCTACTACTGTGTACTTAGTTTTTTACATACATGTTTCCAACTGGGTAGAGATGGCTAGGGCAGGGACCACCACACCTTACTTAAGTTGGCAGGACACACAGCTATATAATGATGGGATGGATGGGATGGGATGGGATGGGATGGGATGGATGGGATGGATGGATGGGATGGATGGATGGGATGGATGGGATGGATGGATGGGATGGATGGGATGGATGGATGGGATGGATGGGATGGATGGGATGGATGGATGGATGGGATGGATGGGATGGGATGGATGGGATGGATGGATGGATGGGATGGATGGATGGATGGGATGGATGGATGGGATGGATGGGATGGATGGATTGGATGGATGGATGGGATGGATGGGATGGATGGGATGGATGGGATGGATGGATGGGATGGATGGATGGGATGGATGGATGGGATGGATGGGATGGATGGATGGGATGGATGGGATGGATGGATGGGATGGATGGATTGGATGGATGGATGGGATGGATGGGATGGATGGATGGGATGGATGGGATGGATGGGATGGATGGATGGGATGGATGGGATGCATGGATGGGATGGATGGATGGATGGGATGAATGGATGGATTGGATGGATGGATGGATGGATGGATGGGATGGATGGGATGGATGGATGGGATGGATGGGATGGATGGATGGGATGGGTGGATGGGATGGATGGATGGATGGGATGGATGGATGGGATGGGATGGATGGATGGGATGGGTGGATGGGATGGATGGATGGATGGGATGGATGGATGGGATGGATGGATGGATGGGATGGATGGGATGGGTGGATGGGATTGATGGATGGATGGGATGGATGGATGGGATGGATGGGATGGATGGATGGGTGGATGGGATGGATGGGATGGATGGGATGGATGGGATGGGTGGATGGGATGGATGGATGGATGGGATGGATGGATGGGATGGATGGATGGATAGATGGGATGGATGGGATGGATGGATGGGTGGATGGGATGGATGGATGGGATGTCCAGGCATAGAACAATGTGGATCCTGTATGTCAAGGAGATTGTTGCCATGGATAGCTGTTGGTACCGTGAGAATAAAAGCAACTGCTAGAGAAAGGGCAGCCATTTGAAAGGACAGAGGGCCCAAGGCAGAATTCTAGACAAGGAATTCTAAGTAAGGATGGCTGGCAGGAGCAAGGAAGGGTGAGAAGGAACATTGAGGCAGGCAGAAACGTTTCAGAAGATTGCTGTGCTGTGGGGATGAGCCTGGAAGGACTTCATGCAAATCAAAACAAGCAGACAAAATGATGTTCCTTGGAGAGTCACTGACTCAAGAAGAGTTCTATAACAAAGAAAGGACAACAGATGCAGAGAGTTATTCAAAGAACACCACTAAATAAAATAGGACAAACTTTAGCCAGGCACAGTGATGCATGCCTTTAGTCTCAGTACTCAGGAGCAGAGGCTAGACCGGCAAGGGAGACATGTATGTATACATGTATGTATATGTATGTATATGTATATATATATGTATACATATACACACACATATATGTGTGTGTGTATATATAGGCACATATATAGTGCATGTGGTATGCAGGTGGTATGCCTGTTTATGTATGTGTGTGTAGCATGTGTGTATGTGTGTGGGGTGGGTGGGAGTGCTATGCGGGGTGTATGTATGTGTGTGGTGTGTGGTGACTTTATTTCTAGGGTGAGGTTTTGGATCTGTGGAATTCAAGACCCTGTCAGCAACCACCTCTGTGCCTCTAATGCGGTGCAAGTCTATGCTCAGTGGAATTACCTGAGCAAACTGCAATATACACTTATTTAGTCTATGCTCACTGGAATTACCTGAGCAAACTGCAATATACACTTATTTAGTCTATGCTCACTGGAATTACCTGAGCAAACTGCAATATACACTTATTTAGTCTGTGCTCACTGGAATTACCTGAGCAAACTGCAATATACACTTATTTAGTCTATGCTCACTGGAATTACCTGAGCAAACTGCAATATACACTTATTTAGTCTGTCCTCACCTTCACAGTACTGACTTCCCTGGTGGATGCTGTCTGTGAGTCAGATGGTACAAACTATTAGGATATTCTAATGAGCAGCTAAACTTGAGGGTATCTCTTACCCACTCCCTCTGACTCCTTGGGGCTAATCTCGCCTGGCCTCATCCCCAAGCAGAAGGACACACCACAGCATGGTGCTGTGAGTATAGCCGGCAGGACTGTCACCTGCTCACCTCAGGGGCCCAGCTGCAGAGGCCAGGGCTGTGTCTTTGCCTTAGCCTCTTGACTTCAACCCCACAGCTTTTTCTTCGTTGTCTGTTCTAGATGTAGCTATGAAAAACAAGAAACGCCGGGTGGTGGTGGCTCATGCCTTTAATCCCAGCACTCGGGAGGCAGAGACAGATGGATCTCTGTGAATTTGAGGCCGGGCTGGACCGATAGCCTCCAAAACAATACAGAGAAACCCTGTCTCATAAAAACCAAAAAAAAAAGAAAGAAAGAAAGAAAGAAA